CCATATTAGGACTTCATCTCTATTTAGAAAAGAGCAATAATTTTTTGTGTACCTATATATACATATATATTATAGCAAAATAAAACACTTTATTTTTTGTTTAAGATACAATTTTTATTATTTATTATAAATTATAATGTAGTAAAAAAATTATTTGTGTGTGTACGTATAATGTGTAAGTGTTTGTTATTATATTAGGAAATTTTTAAATTTAAGCAAAAATTAAATATATTTCAAATATAAATATAATATTTAATATTTATAAGACATTTTAAGTGCTAAATTATAAATGTAAATGTAGTTTTAATAAAACAAAACATATTAATGAGAACGTTTCACTTAAATTAATTAATGTACCTAAAAAAATTATTAATTAAACATTATTCAGTAACAAAAATACTGAAATCTAAATTATTCACAGCATTCAAATTTATTATATATAAAAACTAATTTTATAATTAATTTGTTATACATTTATTAAAACATGTAAGAAATAATTTCAAGTTTAAAATAAAAAATGTCTCATAAGAAAGTTTGTTTTTGTATTTAAATTTTTGGGTTTATTTAGATTTTTTAAATAAATTAATTATATTTTCTATAAATAAAATTTAATTGAAAGAATATTTTAATTAAAAAATTTTGAAAAAATGTTGCCTTCATTTATATTGGAATTTTTTATTATAAAGATGTAAAACTATATACATTATAAAAGTTTGTAAAAAGTTTTTATAATAAAATTTTATTTAATTTTTATAAAACCTATAAACTGACTGTCAATTAATTAGAACTTCATTTATTATTTAATTAAAAATACGTACAATTTACTAATAAGTCTTAATTATGAATAACATTTAAAATCTTTCGAAACTGTTTTATTATATATATGATCAAAAATAAATAAAAAAGTTAGTTTCATAAAAATTTATCTAATTTTTATTTTTAATATAACATATTTTATTACTGTTATAATAAAAACTTATTAAAATAGTTTAATTAAACTATAAAACTTTATTTACTGAAAGCTTTCTAGCATTCTTTTTTTATTTAAATTAAAAAATAATTTAATTTCAATTTTAAGTCGATTTAAAAAAGACTTTTTAAAAAAAAGGCAAAGATATATTAATTAAATAAGGACATATCTTATAAATATTTAAAAATATAAAAAATAATATAATTCAAAAATATTAATGGTATTAAATATGCCATGTATGTGTACTTTATATTTTTTTGAAAATATTATATTATATATATTAAAGAATTTGTCTTATTTAATATAAATATTTTTTATTCTTTTGACATAACATACAATTACTGAATTTATTTTAATATTAATTGGTTATAATGTCGTATAATAAAAATTTAGATAATTATATAAAGTTATTATGCTTAAAAAATTAAAAAACATTTTATTTTTTAAAAGACAAGTTCTTTAATATTTTTTAATATTTGAATATAATTAATAAAAGAAAATTTTGTAATGAGTTTTTTATTGAAAATTAGAATAAAATAAATCTAAAAATCCTAAAACGTATTTAATCAGTAAATTTAAAAAATATTATATTGAATATTTTGATTCTGTATGCCATTAAGTTAAATAAATAAATAAAATTACTTGCATTAGATAGTTCAAATAAATTTTTTTAATCAAACTTTAGAACTCAAAATTAAGAATTAAATATATTCATATATTAGTATGAATTACTGTATACTAAAATATGTATGTTAAAATAAAATAAAAAAAAAACAAACCTATTATATAAATAATAATTTAAATAATTAAGGTGTTCAATGCTTTAATTTGCAAAATTTTTCTATAATATATGAACCATTTATGTAAAAAATTCAAAAATATTATAATAAAATATATTCAGTACATTATTTATATAAAAATATTAAACTTTTTCTTATAAAAAATTTATCGTCATATAAAACTTTATTAACAATAAAATATTTTACAAATGAGTCTAAATTTAATAAATGTTCATTAACTTTATAATTTTAAAATATTTAAATATGAATTAAAAAAAAAAGTACAATTCTTTTATAATTTTTGTTTTATTATATTAGAAAAGTTATATAAATTTACTTTCCTTTCGTATAAGTTAAACTCATTTATAATGTATATGATATCATATTTTAGTTTAAAATTTTTAATTATTTAATAAATTTTTCTTATCAATAAGATTGCCACCATTCATTGTATTCTTTTATTTATTTGTTGTTAAGATGATTATTATTTGCCATTTATATATAAAAAATTGAATAGCAATTGTTTATTAAACTTTCTTATAAGACTTTTTTGTTTGTTTATTGTTTTTTATTACAATTCACAAACGTAAATATAAAAATATTTAAAATAAGTAAATATTTATTAAAGGAATGCGAATTTAAATATTTATGCAATAATTTAAATATATTAAAATGAATAATAAAAAAGAGCAAAAGTTTAAATATTTTAATTGTTTTTATTTTTATTATCAATGTTAATTTAATAAAGGAATTTGTTTCCTTTACTTAATTTTATTTTTTGTTTGTTTAGGGATTTAACAAATAAAGATTTATTTCTTAAAAAGTTATTATGTATTTACTATTTTACATTAAAATTACTAAAGTAAATAGTTATTTAATATAGTTCAATAATTTTATTTTATTTTAAAATTAGTTTTGGTAAGTTTCTTAAATTAATAACGATTTTTGTTTTTGTTTTGTTTGTTTAATGTATTTTTTTATATATAACACTTAAGATGCAGATTGTCATACAGTTCCAGCTTTAAATGTTGAACATTTTTTGGGTTGAGAAGTATTTTTATATAAGCAGTCAATTTTTGGAACCAATATTTCATAAGGATTTTAGGTATAAAAATAAATTATTGGCACTTCTCACACTTAATATTTGCAGATTAATTTCGTTTCTCAACATCTCGAACTATGATTTTGATTATTTACATGTATGTAAAACTGAATTGAAAAATAATTAAAAAATAATTTATAACTATGCTTAATTTGAATTAAAATTATTTTTATTTTATATTTCAAAAAGAATTATGAATTGATTTTAAACTATTTCCTTAAACAGTATTCTTTACATCAGAATTTTTTTTTTTTGTTACAAATTCATGCTTTAGATATATGATTCAAGAAACCTTTTAATTAATTAACTATTTTTTATTTTATATATATAAAACTTTTATAATTTCTTTTATAATTATTTGAGAAAAGCAATAGGAAGTATACGTTATTTAATAATAAGTGAAGCAAACATGTGGTGAAAGAATGCAGCGTTAACAAAATTAACAAAAAAATAAAAAAAATTTAAAATAAAAAACTGAACAAACATTTTATATTGTAAATATTAATTTAATAAAAATAATTTATGTGTTTTAATTCACTATTTAATAATCACTTTCAGTTTTTATATATATTTATATATGGTTTAATTGACATATATGGTAAATTAAAAAGAGCTTCTTTATTGTTGTCAGTAATAATCAATGTAATTATTTTCAATTTTTTTATATAATATTAAAGTTTAATTGGCTGATAAAATTATTAATAATAAATAATTATTGTTTGAGTTGGACTGAAGTAGAAGAAAAAGTTTCATCTCATCGATGAATATTTTACTGCAATATCTCTCATTTGATTTATGTAGTAATCGTTTATTTCCTACTGTTAAAGGCTCATCAATCAATTTTATACTTCAATAAAATATGTATGGGAAAGAATACTTCATTAAAAGACAATAAATTTGAAATATAATCTTATTAAGATAATTTTTTTATTTTAGCAAATAAACTATTTATTGAGCAATAAGCAAGACATGTTGATGACTCCATTTCTCATCCGATATATAATATAATAGCAATACTTTCTCAAAAAACTAACTAAGTAATCAGTTGATCTTCTCTACTATCTATAATTATAGTTTAGTAAGTTTTATCAAATATCTGGAATTATGCATACATATATATATAATGAGCTAATTTGCAATTGATATTTTTTTGCAATTTGTCGTTTAATTATTCTAAACATTCTATTAGAATTGTCAAAGTACATCAGAATCTCATTAAAATATTTGACCCTAGGACAAGACATCTATTTTAGATAGAAGAGTATGTGAAACTGCGGAATCTAAAAGTTAGAAACTGAAAATTTAAACTCTTTTTTAAGTGAAATCTAAAGAAATACAAATATCAAATTTATATGAAACTTCATATATTGCAGTATAAAAGGTAAAATTTGGATAGGTTAAGGATGAGTACTGATAGAACTAACAATATTTCAACTCGAAGACGTGTGATGCAATAGAAGTATCTATAATCTAGGAGAAGACAAACCCAAATAGACAAACTTTGAATTAAATTTTTATTTAAATATTCATTCATATAGTATGCTTGAATAATAAATATAAATTAAGTGATAGTTACCGTAGATATTTAGACCAATTAAGAGTGCATATCACATAAATATTCATTTATATTTTGCTAGATATTCATATCAATTAAGAATGCAAATCACATAAACATTTATAAATAAATGTTTATAAAACCTTATAATAAAAAATTATAGAAAAATATAAAAGTGGGAATAATGGCAAAAAGTTCAAATTTTTTTATTTAATAATAAAGTACTTGATAAGTTAATTAATAATCAATTATCTGGTACTTATTGACAGAGAAAAGAAAACGAAAACTGTTTACCAGTAGAAAAATTGTTATAATTAATCAAATATTATCAAACCCGCAGAATATTCATTGCGAAGATGATAAAAATTCTTCCCAGGAGCTGTATATTTTATTGCAATTTATTATTTATGGTATCTAATTAAAAAATGTTATAATAATAATCTAACAAGTACGTCACTAATAAAGATTTGTTCTGATCCAATCTTAATGTATGTTCTTAATGTATTTGTGTTCTATTTACTGGGATTTCAATACTTTTCATATCATTTTCTCAATTATAATTATTACTCAAATAAAATAATATAGAAAAAATTTTTATTTCATCAATGAAACAAATAAATCCTTTAAAGCTAAATCTGAGTATGTTAGCCACTGGACTATAAAAGCTATATTGCAATAACTAAATAAAAAATTAATGATTAAAAGAATTTATAATAACATAACTACAATATCACTATTATAATTATAGTTTATATTAAAATATGTAAAAAAATGATGTTATTTCCTAATAAGGTTTAAAATAAAATAATATTTATTTTATATATAAATACACGTAAAACTACAATGGTATTTATGCTTAAACGAATAATTACCTAACTGAAGGTCTTTCATCGGATGAAGAAATACAAATCAGTTGAATATGTTTAATATTA